ATAGAACTTGAATTCAATTATGGTAAAAACAAACTACAAGTTATAAGAGACACCCATGCTTGTATTTATATTGTATGTATAGTAGAGGTAGTCCTGTACAATACATTCATACTATAACACAATTTGAAAATTATTGCAATATATAGTTCTTTTCTTTTCATTTAATGTTTGCACAAGTGTGAATTTCATTGTGTATGGATAAATGATTTGCTTTTCATTTTTGTATTGTTAGTGGAAATAAAGGGTATCAGGTTTCCTTTCTTTTTCTTTTTTCTTCTTTCTGCCCCAAGTGTTCGACCATATTGAAAACATGGAAGTTGAAGCCTGTACTGTACTACTACTGTGAAAATTGTAGGAGATATTTTTGGTGAACCCCATTATTGGTCATCATTTAACGGCTATAATTTTGTTCACTGGTTAAATGGGCCAATCCTGCTAAAGCTGCCTGATAGATAATGACCAGATTTTTTTTTACAGAAAAAGAAATGCCTAATGAATGAGAGGCCCATATATATGGTTCACCCACCAGTAAGGATCAAATGAAAACTAAGAATTTTACTTTTTGGTCCTCAATTTTGATCCTTTCTTACATTGAATTTTGAGAGTTGGACATCAAGTGGGGCATATTGACAGTTCAGTACAGAAATATTATCCACATACATCTGAGCACACTTAGCACCTTACAATCTTGGCATAATATCCACACTCAGAAAAATATTCAAAAATATGTACAGCCTTGACAAATAGGAAATTCAAAGAAGAAATTTGTAGAAACTTGCCCATCAGAAAACAAAAGCCACATTTTCTGTTCAACACCCCATTCACTGTAAAAAAATATACTTAGCCAGAAAACAAGAGAGAGAGAGGGAGAGTAATGGCTTTGGAAAACTGTTTGCAACTAAGCACAGTGTGCACTACAAGAGTTGGTGCTGCACAATGCTATCAGCCATTTTCTTCCAGGGAAAAGCTTATTGTGCCAACCTGCAATGGATTGAAGAAATCTGTTTTGAAATTCTCTTCATCTTCATCTTTTGCACCTTCCAATAAATCCCACAGATCCCGCTTTATTTGCAAGGCTCGTGAAGCTGTGAATGAAGGTTAGCTGCACAGTCTCTGCTATTATTGTTGTTTGTTTCTGATTAATTCTTAATTATTTATGTTGAATGTCACTCTCCCTTGATTTCGTTAGGAATCTTGTAACTTCTATATGTAGATGTATGACAACTAGAAGAAGAAATAACAACACATATTAGTGCAATGAACAACTAAAGAAGGTGTTGAAAGCAGCTACAGTTATTAACCACTTACAGAATTGACAATTGAGTTTATTATGCAATATCTTCTTTTGCTTTCTTTTAATTGATGGCAATTTTTCGCTACGCAAAATTCATTCTTTCGTGTATATAATACCCATGTCGTGTTGGTCACATGTCCAGTTATTTTCATATATATGTATGTAGAGTAAAGCGTATGCAAGAATTTTATTTAATTACCCAAATTTGACTATTTGTGCAACTTATACATATAAGTTACTTTTGCACTATAATTTGTTACCTGTTCCATCTTCAAATTAGTTGGTTTGGTTCTGAATAAGAACCACATCACATGAATATATCAACTTAGTGAGTTCATTGACTTGTGCAAACTCTGCAGTTCAAGTGGTGAATGATTCAAGTTGGAATAACCTGGTGATTGCAAGTGAGAACCCAGTTCTGGTAGAATTTTGGGCCCCGTGGTGTGGACCGTGCAGGATGATTGCCCCAGTGATCGACGAACTGGCGAAAGAGTATGCTGGGAAGATAGCTTGTTTCAAGCTCAACACTGATGACAGCCCTAACATTGCCACTCAATATGGCATAAGGAGCATACCAACTGTGCTTTTCTTCAAGAATGGAGAAAAGAAGGAGAGCGTTATTGGAGCAGTGCCCAAGTCCACCTTGTCTGCTACCATAGAAAAATATGTAGATCTTTAAAGAGGGAAATGATGTATATAGACTTTTAGTGTGAGCCATCATGCTTGTGCTCAAGAAGCTATTCATTGTTAATCTTCAATTAACTCCTCCATTTGAATTCATATAATTTCTTATTGTTGTTTCCTTCCTGTAATCTTTAACCTTTTATTTTACTCAACTTTCCATTTACCCCCTAAAACAAGGATATATTTCTACACATTGAAAATTGGGGCCAACTGTCGAAATACATGGAGGTGTCCAGGAAATCCTAAATCTGAAGAGAGAGAAAAACGACTCCTAATAACTCCCTATAATTTAATTATGGTTTATTTTAAACATCTATTTTATGCTAACCATTTTTAGTCTACATTTTATTTAATGGTTTGAGTTGAAATTTTATAAAAGCTCCCTAAATAGCTTTTTAACGTTTTTACTAAATTTCAACTAAAAAAATTGGGAGCATGATTTTAAATGGTCTTATGACTTCATATTCTTCTTAGATTTGAGTAGAAGAAGACAGCAAGTATATGAAGAATTAGGTACAAAGGACACGATTACACCAACACTCAATAAGTTTAGGTGACTTGTCAACTTAAAATTACATGAACAACCACCAGTAAGGTCAACCAACTAACTTCCACGTAATCAAAGAAAAAGACTAAATTTCCCTTTCTCATAACTACTGGTTTCTAACATGTATACCGGAAACGCCTATTGGAATTGAGAATAACAAATACATGCCTAAGGAATAGTTGAGAAATACAATTCTATGATTGGATGAACAGATCCAACCAAGGAGATCTCATTTGCACTCTTGAACCCCTCTACCCAAGTAAAAAAGTTACTACTAGGAAAAAAGATATGTAGTATACCATTATGACGAGATTTTTAAAAATTAAAAAAAAAATTGAAGTACATTTAAAACCACAAGAAAATGAGCCCCATCAGCCACACAACCAGCCACCAAATTTCCTTTTTATATATAAATAACAGATTAGTACAAAGTGGGAGCGACAGCCCTGTCAACTATTTCATTTCATCCACGCACTGCCATCTTCCACAGGGCTAGAGGCAACTCTGCCACTTCCCATGCTGCACAAGCAGCTAAATCAAGAACCGGTGAAACGAGCATCAACATGATCACAGAGGCTTTCAAGGGGAATGTTTCCAATCAAATTGAAGATTGTTAAAGCCGTTAACCGCTCCAAGCCCACTAAGTAACTGGTTCCCCAGATCCTGTTGTTGATGATGCATGCTTTGTTCTCGAGCCATTGATGCCATTCCCACCCTTCCATTCATAACAGAATTATTTCCCATTGCACTTCTTATTCCATTAACCATGGAAGGCTGACCAAGTCCACCCATACTCCCAAATCCAGCACCCCCAATACCCGAGTTACTACTGTTAGTCATGCCATTCCCTGACAGACAGTTGCCGCCATTCATTCCTGTGTTGTTGCTTGTTGACAAAATCCCATTAACGTTTTTCACGTCGTTTCCCAGAGAACCCACACCAACCATACTGCCTGCGCCATTCAGCTGGTTGGACATCATCATTTCGTGTATTATTTTCTGGACAGAGCTCTGGGAATCGCTTGGATCAGCCTCACCGGAAATGGTTGGCTGTTGCATGGTTATATTCGCTGGTGAATTTGTTGCACTCATGTGATTGGCAGCTGTCAAGGCACCATGAGATGTTTGAGAGGGATTGTTTGACGAGGGTGTTGGTGACTGGAATGGAGAGGGGTTTGGTTGCGTCTGTGGAATTGTACTAGAAGAACCAGGGGATGGAATCTGAACAGAATTTCCTCCATAGGGACTGTTTGCATTATTCATTGAACTTTGCTGTCTGGAATTCATGGAATTTTGATGGAGGAGCCCAACAATGGTGCTTGCAGAGGTAGATGTGGATGCTGTGCTCAGAACATTATTTACACTAGCCATACCATTACTGGCAGCAAGTTGCATAGTGGTGGCCTGGACAGAGCTTGGATCGCCGTTCGGATTCTGGCCCATCGTTTGTTGTTGCTGTTGTTGCTGTTGCTGCTGCTGAATTTGCTCCTCGGACTGTTGTGCTTGACTGTGAAACCCAGATGAAGCACTCGTCCTTCGAGGAAACTTGGCCAAGCTCTCTGAAAGAAAACATTAGCAATGAACTACCATGTGGCAATCAAACAATCCTATATTATAGCGGAGCTACTAACATACAATGAATTAATTGCAAGCATTCAGCCTCAAGAATAACTTGTACGATTTGATGGGCATAGAAATAGGTGCCCACAATATAATGCTTTAAATTGCCATGATATCGTGCAACCATATGGCATTCGGAGCATTTGTGCATGTCTTCACAAGTAACTGTGAAAAATAGCACAGCGACTTGATTTTCTAACTATGAGACAAGCAAAATTTCATGTTATGGAAGCTTGGTAATCCAGCAGCAGCCTCATTCACTCCCATGAAGATAAATATCATTCTTCTTGTTTTTGTTCTCTAACTATTGTTAATCACCGCGACACTCCTCTTATGTTCCCTCCATAAATTCAACAATAAACTGTGATATATCTCTGAACTCCATAATTTAATTTCCCCTTATCCTTTCAGACCTGCTGCTATTCTTTGAATTTGTTTTTTTTTTTTAAGCATCATGGCTGAAGCTGATTCTAAATCTTAGGAATTAGGTATTTCTAGTACAAACAAGATAGAAAGGATCAAGCTGCTATGTTGCTTATTAGTTTTAGGTCAGGAAAATTGAGGTTTTACCTTGTGGGGCCTACCGGCAATGTCAATTGAAGTTGAAAAGAAGATCCTTTATGGTTTTGAAGATCAAGTTACGAGTAGTCTAGGATTAAGGCAGTGCTTAAAATTAGCTCTTTAGTTTAATTTCCAGCAAGCATCCTTCTCAGATTTCCACATAATTCACCATCAAGATTCAATGATCTTTTCACCTCCAAATCAATTTACATATCCTAAACCCCTCTTTCTACAAACCCAAGACTTGAAACCTAACTTGCAATCTGAAAACCCACCGCACAAGCATACATAAGCAGGTTTCTCCCAATCCATCACTTCTAGGCACCACGTCATTAGTTCACACACTCTTCTTCCACTCAGTGCTGTTCTTACAATTTCCTTTGATCTCAACAATAGTAATAAAATGCATATATGAAAGCAGAAGCTTTACTGCAAAGGTACATACCGAATCTAATCCATAGAAAATTACAGGCTTCATTTGTTATTCCTACGAAATTTACACATTTTTTAGTTCTAAATTACTCATTACGTCTTCTTATGTGGAAAATAAATATTTTTAATTTTTATGTAGCATAAAGATTGTCTCTAACAATTGAATAAAAGAAAGGGGAACGTATGTTTGAATTATCATTAATTATTTAGTTAACATAGAAAAATCAGGCTTACCCATAGGTCCAGTCCCTGTCTCTCGGCTGTAATCAATCAAGTCTTTCATACTATTAACCACTTCTGAAATCTGCATTGCACCCCAAAAAAGAAATATTAACAATGACAATGGTCAATCAGGCTGCAAGCAAACTCAGTTACATGGTTCGCTAACATAGGACCATAATTGTTTGAAATATCATATATTACACTTCATAAGGAATAAGAAGAGAATATATTGGTCATAAGTTTCTTTTAACAAAAACAAAGGCATTTCTGGCGTAAGGACTCCAACTTCAACAATCAGATGTTAAACCCGATGTTACACAATAAACTTAAACATTTGACATGCAGTGTGTTGATAATTTAATTTATAACAAACAGTGGATAGAACTAATGCCTCATTAACCAGCCAAAGATGACTGTAAAAAACAGAACAAAAACACAATTCATACTCATCTTACACTTCCAAGCCAACCCATCAGACAACTCACCAAAGAACATTTCAATTAGTAGGGTGATTGGAACAAAATCATTCAGAAATATTTTTGAATAATTGTCAGACATGTAGAAACATGTAATCAATTTGGTACAGTAGGACACAAAAAAATCTCACTTTGCTATTGCAAATTTTGAGACAGTGAACCAAGTAAAAAAACACACAAGCCCCGACATTACATATGTAGACAAAAAAGGGGTAAAGGAGAAAAAAAAAATGATGGTATTAAGTCAAATATTTCCATCCAAGCGTCCATGCAAATAATGGAGAACTTTATTTCAGGTGTTATAGAAGGGGGATACATGTAACATAGGAGCAAAATAATTCTTTTGACGAGTTCACATATGTACATATAATCTCTATCAGAAAAATGATCCCCATGCAGATAAGATAAACACTGGACCAAGAACAAATGCTGCAGCACAAAATGCAAAATACAATAGCGTATCTCAAAGCAAAAGATGTTACACAAACTTTGCATTGATGAAAACATATATCCGATCACCGTAAGGCTCCTTGTACACAAGGACCATCATAATGCACAGTGACTATGCAAGGAAATAAGAAATTACCTGAAGACACCTTACATATCTCTTTGTATAACCTAAATCATTTACTAATGGCACTTCCAAGGTTTTCGCTAACTGCCGAGCTGACGATACAAACCTAAACCAAAATTGCACAGGAGGAATTAATCAAACAGAAAAAACTGCAATCCAATCAATCACCAATTTTGCATATACATCAAATAATACAAATAAATAGGCTTTTAAAATCATTTCACCCATATATTTGGTAGACATACAGTAGTTTAACTGAAAAACTAAGCCCCCACTACATAGAACAAAGGTTGAAATGGAGGCAGGAGATTTCAACACTTAGATTCACACTGTCATTAAGATCTTTATGATGAAACCACCATGTAATTGCAAAATCAAATATTCTTTAGTCTCAGACTCTTTTTTTTCTTTTTTCTTTTTTCGGAGAAGCCCTGGAATAAGTAATTAAGAACAGACAAGTTTGAGCCATTAACAAAAAAAGGGTGAACAATATGCAACTTTCCCAATAAGCCCTAAGCAAATTAAGAAGAAAAGAAAAAGTTACATAACTATACAGCCAAATAATAACTTGATTATGTAATTTTCTGATCACAAAATAATGAATGACTGCTGATGTCTTTACTAGAAATGTGAGACTATACTTTTTGTAGGCCTAAAGGGTACAGCACATGAACTGATAAAAACAAGAGATCCAGAGTCATAGATGGCATAAGGACAATCCAACATTCCCTCATTACAAACAAGGCATAAAAACAGACAGCCAAATTTCTATCAAAAAGCGCTGTTTGAAAGCTCAAATATTTTCAGGCAAAAAAAAAAAAAATTGGATGCTCAAATATGCACAAGAATGAGATAGAAAGATAAAGAACCTACATATTACAATTATTTTGTATCTCTGGAAGAGATAAATTGGATGATGCATTTTGAGTAGCAGCCTGGTATTTCTGAGCTGCAGCACCAAGCTGACTAACCTGCACAGAGCAAGTACATATTATTAATGCAGAATAACATATGAATGGTAAATGTACTCAAATTAGTCTCATATACACCAGATGGGGATGTCAATGACTCTGCTAGTTTGGTATCCAGATTCATATCCAAAACACATAAACATAATGTAGGACCCTACTCCGACCTTAATCTCACAAATTTATAAATCCTTTACTAAAATCACTGGTTATTGATATAACATAACTAAATATCTACACTTACTTTTTAATCAAATTAGACTCAGATTTAAATTTGAACTGATGGGTCTATTTGCTAGGATCAACAAATTTTTCATCTCCAAAGTCAGCAGAAGCATCTATCTTCTCAGTTACACTAAGTCTTATTTCATCCAAACAATTTACATATCCTAACACACACAAAAAGCTTCAAATATATGAATTTGGACATTTTCTATTTGTCACATGAAGAGAACAGAAAATCCCAAGTTTTGAAAACACAGCATAAGGGTAATACAGATGGAGAAAACCGCCCATCACAAGTAGACATTTGGTAGTAACCTGAGGTATCAGTAATCTTCGAGGGATAAGCTCTTCATGGCGCCTTGCACAAAATTCCCAAGAGCATATCTGTCAAAAGAACGAACGAAGAGAAAGTTGATCAACACCTGGGGAAGGCAGAACATTAAAGGAAATATGAAAACAATTTTTATGTCCTACCTTTA